ATCCGCCCGCCTCGGCCTCCCAGAGAGCTAGGATTACAGGCGTGAGCCACCACGCCCGGCCTTACAACTACTCTTAATTAAATTTTCCATAGATTTAAAGCACACATTTAAAAAAAAAATCAGGAAAATAATAAGGATTTTTAAAGAATGTCAGACTCTTCTGGCCCACAATTTGGAAGAATGGCCCTTGGTGGTCTACGGTGATGGGCAAAAAGACACCTCCAAACATTTGCCTGCCACCCCCACCACGAGATCATTCCAGCATCCCGGAGGGCGGGGGCTGGGACCAGCATTAGGACGGGGATGCCCCGAACCCTGAAAACGCAGCCTCGAGTCCGGGAGCCCGAGGACCGCCCGGAAAGGCTGTCTGCCCTCGGAAGGGAAACGAAAGCGCACACGTTTCCAGTGCCCACTCCGTGTGGCGTCATCCACGGGAAGAACAGCTGAGGGAGAAGACGGAACAGCCGCACGTCACCCAAGAGCTGCTGCGTAAACAAGCCGTGAGGCGAGGACGGCGGCAGGCAGTGCCGGGGGCACGTCAAGAAGACAAACCTGCCTGCTCGGATGGAGAGGAAGCAGCCCGGGTATCGATCGGAGCGCTTCTGGGGACAGCGGGTTTCCCTCGAGGAGAGAAGCGTGCAACGGGTTCAGACAAACCGCACCAGGGCAATAAATGTCCTCCAAGGACTCATCCTGGAAAGCTATGCTCACTCCAAAGACACTGACACTGTCCAAAGGTTTCTGGAATTTGCCTTAGAGATGCCTCAGAAGCCACTAGAACATTTTCTGGAGCAGCCCCACAGCCAGCAAACCTTTTAACTTGCCGTCAGTTTTTGAAACCGCCCAGGCTGGGTGACGAGGTGAGCGGCTAGTTGAAGGAAGGCCCCTTGGTGCAGTGGGGTCTCACGGGCGCCAGGGACAGCACCGTGCATAGAACATCACCGGGTGACGCCCGAGGGACGCTGAGACCACCATCCACTGATTCAGAACACGCTCAGTGGTGAGGTCCTCACCCTGTGGGGAGGCACAGTGGGTGGGAGGCTGCATCCACCCTTGATCTGCCCGAGGTCCCCAGCTGGGACGTCCTTGTGACCGGCAGCTGCCACTTCTAACGGGGGGTGCTGATTCACCTCGGTAATTCACCTGAGCTTGGTCCCGGGTTCCCCACTTGGAAAATGCAGACATGCAGTAAGGACACGAGAAAGCGGTCGTACTCTGGGCCCTCCCTGGAGGGTCAATCAACACTCTGCCATTCCAGCACATTCCTTCTGAGTCTCGTTACTGCATAAGTCCCCAGGAAGTGTCTTGGGAATAAAAAAACTTCCAGATGCTTCCTGGAGTCTATGGTGTTCAGACGGGTGGAGCCCCTACAACGACCTGGGAGAACAGGGAGTTTTCACTAGTTCCCCAGACCCCTTTATCTAATACCCGCCATACACGGGTCTTAACCTTCAGACCATCCCTCCACCCCTCCAGAAGAAACACAGCGTGGTGGAGGAAGTGCGGAGGGACAGACAGCCGGTGCCACGTCCCAGCTGCGCCCCTGGGTCTGGCACGGCCCGAGATGGTACGAGGAGTGGTTGGTTACCTGACGTGCCCGCGGAGAAGTTCTTGAGCGAGGGCCTCTGGACCACGGTGTAGGACTCGCCGACCACAAACACCTTGTACAGGACGGCGTTGTGGTTGATGAAATTCTGGACCACGCAAGGGGGCTGGATGGCGCTCAGGCCCTCCTGGTTGAACACAATGGCCATCTGTGGAGACAGGGGCCACAGGCTCCATCAGCGTCTACTACTCCCGCAGCCAGGGCCCCTCCACCAAGGCCCATCCAGGACCTGCGGGACGAGGGCTCCCCCAGGAGAATCTCAGGCCAGGGTGAGAGGAGTGGGACTTGGTAAGAAGACCTGGGGATCAGTTCACTTCTGCTGCCGGGGTTTGGAAATCCTGCATCCATTGTGCCTGCCATGTAGGGTTGAGCTGGCTGTGCACTGCACAACTCCTGAGAGCACTATTCACACTGTGGTCCAGGGAATGGAGCCCCTGGGTTGAGTGCTACTCAACCCTATGCCATCCGAAGGATCCTCCAAAAAGACCCAAGAGGGGGAGGCAGGAAGCAGATGACTATGCTTCAGGAGTCGGAGGCCTTGGGACAAACCTGTGTACGGACAAAGGCTGCCTGTTGTTGAGCAGTCATGGCAAGCCAGGCCCCGTTCTAAGTACCTAATGTGAGTTACCTGGCATCATCCTCACAACGTACCTGAGGTGGCATATTGCCACCCCCTTTCACAGAGGAGGGAGCTGAGGCCCTGAGGAGTTCAGTGACCTGCTGGAGAGTGAGAGCGCCAGAGGGAGTCGGGCATGCCCAGCACCCAGCCCTGCCCTCACACGCTGGGCCTCCCGGACACTCCACAGACAGGAACACGTCTCTGTGTCCCCAGCCCCTGGCTCATCTGGGGACAAAGGTTCCTGACAGGAGCATCCAGCAGGGGGCTGAGGCAGGGAGGGAAGAGGACAGCTGCAGAAAACCCCCCTGCCTGGCCGAGGCTGGGCTGCCTGGAGCCAGCTCTAAGGATGCTGGGACGGAGGACTTGGCCCACGGCCCACACGATCCAGCTGCCAGTGCCAGGGTCATGGCTAATCCCTCAGCCTACATGGTCCCAGGAAGGAGCCACCAGATGCCTGGGGCTGCTGAGCAGGAATAATAGGGCCTGGACAGCTGGCTGCCTGCATCGGCTGCCACCCCTCATGTCAACTGTCACGGAGCGCCAACCCTACGTGCCTGGTGCTCAGCTGGGCAGGAGAGAAGTAGGAAACGGGCCACATAGGAAAAACAAAAAGTGCGTGTGTGTGCTTGGGAGGGGGACGGGGTGGGGAGTGCATGTCTCCTTAGCCTTCCGACAAGAGTGAAAGAACCACGCACCGAAAACAGGAAAGAACACAGGCAGCTCACAGTCAGGCAGGGGTTCAAGTCCCCACCCCAGCACCTGCTGCATGAGCTCGGGCAGGGCACTCACCCTGCTCACGCTCCATTTTCCTCACCTGTGCAACGGCAGCCATCACCACTGTGGGGTGGCTCTGGGGTGCTCTGAGCTTTTGGCCAGGTAGTTCAAAAAAAAGAGAGAGATCCTGCTGCGGGGCAAACTACGCAGTATGCGTGCACCGGCTCCAAAACGCATAGAAGCCCAAACCGTTCTGTGGACGTAAAATGAAAACAGAGCGGTCTGGCGGAACTAGTCCTGGTTTTGGCTGAGTTAGGGGCTGGAGGTTCAGAGGCAGGGCTGGGCAGGCTGGGACTCACGACCCGATCAGGGACACCCACTTTACTACTTAAGGCCAGTCACGTGCACAGTGTCATTTCCTGCCCCGGCTACACCCAACACCGCTGTGCATCCCTGAAGTCTGTGGAAACCTGGCCCCAGCCCACCTGCCCTCTGCAGGGTGGCCACACCGGAGGGAGTGTCCCCCTCTGATGCCAACAGGCTCCCACTGCACACAGGAGTCTCAGGTGCTCAGGACGGTGCTACAGACTTTGCTGGCTGTGGACCAGGACAGCAGCTGGTGGAGGGTGCAGGCAGAGGGGGTGCCCGTGTGTACGTCTGGGAGCCAGAGAGCTGGAATGAGGGTGCTGACCCCACGCTTGAGAGCTGAGACTCCCCGAGGCCCACGAGGGGCTTCCCTAGAGGAGCTCACCTGGACGCGGAACCGCCGCCCCTCTGCAAGTGCCCGGCAGGCTCCAGAGCAGCTGGCTCCCTGACGGCTCATCGAACAATCCCCGTGGGCCAGGCCCTGCTGCAGCCGTGCGGTCACCCCCTTGTCCTTCACAGCAGCTGTTTTATCCCCAGTCACAAAGGTGGGGGAGGCGCTCTGGGAGCCTCAGTGACTTGCCCAAAGTCACACAAATGGCAACACACAGCGCCAGAACTGGCCCCAGTTCTTAAGCATAGGAGCAGCTCCGTCTCCCCAGGCCGACCCATTCTGACTTAGGCGGGTCTAATCACACCAGCGGCTACATTCACGCTTCCAGCCTGGAACGCTCAAGGAACTGACAGGCACAGGATCCACTGGGGGTGAAAAGGGCCGGTGGAAGGTGGCAGGTGCAGGGGCAGGTGAGGGGGGCTTGGGTGCTGGGAGGATGCTGCTCCCTAGCCTTCCTGCTCCCTCCCTGGCCTGGCCCCAAAGCACACCCTGGAGGGTGCTGCCCCTGCCTGGAGCCCAGGCCAGCTGTGGACGGGGGCGGCCAGCACACGCGGAGGACTCCACAAGGACTCCTGATTTCAGGGACAGCTGTCCTCTGCAGCAGACAATGCCTTCCATTGCTGTCTCCACATTCCTTCCCACGGGCAGGGCCAGCCCCCTCACGGCATGTCCCGTGCTAGACTGACACTGTCTGTTTATAGACGTTTCCCCACAAATACATGCCAGGGACAAAGGAAACTACATAAATCTAAAGGTCACTGCCGACGGGGCTTCCATTTTTAGTCACAAGCTCCCGGGGAGCATGTGTGACGGTAGGGCTGCCCAGGGACAGGCTTTCCCCACAGGGCCCACTTGGGTCAAACGGCTCCTGCCCAGAGACCCTCGCGTGTGCCTAATGGGGGGCCCAGGCTGGGCTGAAGACAAGGTCCCAGGTAGGCTCCTGAGGATGGCAAGGGCAACAGAGCCCCAAGGAAGCCCCTGCATGGCCGTCTGTGCCTCTGGCCCCCAAAGGTCCTCACGTGCTCACTCTACCACACCTCAGTGGCACTGTCTCTCTGGGGACTCTGTGTTCCCTACCGGGGCAGGACTCACATCTCATGTACCCGTCCCCCTGGCCCCTGACACGGTGAATAAAAGAAAGAAGGAGTGGGCGGGTGAATCAAGCACACCACCAGCTGCTGCTCCCGCCCCTCCCCAACCTGAATTCAGCAGCGCGGGCAGATCCTGGTGGGCAATGACAGAATCCTCTCAGAGCTAACAGCCCAGCCAGTGCCCGCCACGAAACAGGCGCTCGCGGAGTGATGATGGTGACAGCCCAAAGGACAGAAAGCCAGGGACAGGCTGAACTGGGGTGGGACGCACATGGGCTCTGCTATGGATTGAATGTGTCCCCCAACTTTCATATGTTGAAGCCTAAGCCTCAGGGTGGTGATTTTGGAGGGGGGGCCTTTGGAAGGTGATTAGGGTTAGATGAGGTCTCGAGGGTGGGGCCCTCATGATGGGATTAGTGCCCTTATGAGAAGACACCAGAGAGCTTGCTCTTGCTTTCTGCCCTTGCATACAGTACAAAAAGGGGTCATGTGAAGACACAGTGAGAAGGTGGCCGTCTGCAAGCCAGTATGAGAGCCCTCACCAGAAACTGACCCTGCTGGCACCTTGATCTGAGACTTCCAGCCTCCAGAACTGTGAGAAAATAAACACCTGCCGTTTAAGCCACCCAGTATATTTTGTTATGGCTGCCAGAGCTAAGGCTCCAAAGGGGACAGGTGGGCCCCCAGCACATCCTCCCAGCCTTGGGGACAGGACAGGCACTGGGGTGAGGGTGGAGACAGCGTACAAGGCCACAGCACTTCTGCTCGATTCCTGTGGAGCCCGGGGGAAGGAAGGAGGGAGCTGCCTACCACGGAGCCAGGATCACGCAGGACTGGGAGCAGCAGCATTGTGGAATTCCACGCACAGGGCGGCAGGGCCCAGTGAGACGTGATGAGCTCGAGGAATTGGGGGGTCTGGGGGAGTCAATCATCTTCCACTCACCTCATGAGAGTTGGTGCCATGAGCCACTCTGGTTTTGCAAACTATGGGTGGGGAAGAGAAAAGCAGAGAGGAATTAGTGAGGCCACTCACCCACAAGATCTGTCCTGGCAAACACGGGGGAACTTGGCACTTCCAGAAGGGAACTCTTAAAACTCCTGCAGCAACAGCGGGATGGGGCAAGTGGGAGCTGCTGAGACACACTGACCCTGGATGACTAGAGTCTGCGCTCGCTCGGGGTCATGCAGATGGACGCCCCACCCCCCCCCAGAACGGCTCCCCTGGCATGGGGGGAGGTGAGACGCAGGGCCACGCCCTTCTTGGCAGCGGAGGCCTCCACCCACCCTCAGGTGAGTTTAAATCCAGAGAGCACCGTGTCCCTCCCCACCCGCTTCCTTCCGAGGCCCAGCGGAGCCTGCAGCGCGGGTGCCGTACGTACTGAACGGGAAGGCCAGGCCGTTCTTCTCCAGCAGCTGCATGGTGTCGTCCCCACACAGGCTCGTGAGCTCCATGAAGGGCGGAGAACAGATCCTGTCGTCTAGGGCAGAGGGGAGCCCGTCAGTATAGCTCCTGGGCAGCCGCCACAGGCCCACGTCCTGGGACACCCACCTCCCCCAGGACAGCCCCCTGCGTCCGTGTGTGTGGATGACAACAATAGCACATCCTTTAATTACATTTTCTAATAACACTTCTGTAATTACAAAACACGTAGATAACTGTAAAATTTGAAAAGCACAGCAAAGTAAAAAATATACATATTCACAGATATTCTAATTACTACATCCTTAGCCTTAATTTTGGGCATATATACATTTACACACAGAGTGCTTTATAACCGGGGACTGATTTGTAACCTGAATTTTAACTTAATAAACTGTGAGCATTTTTCTAGTTCAATAAAGACACATATGAGATATTGACTTAATGATCATCGCAGGAACAATACAGCTTTCAGCGCGTGGCTGTGCCGAGGGCTTTGCGCATGTCGGTTTGCAAAATAATCCCACAAGGAGGGACCGAAAGAACCTGCCTGTGGTGACGCGACTATTCCCTCACCGGGACACGGACCCGGCCCGCACCTTCTTACCACTTAACGTGCTGGAGAGAACCACATGGCGGGGCCCTGGCTCCCGACCCTCGGGCACACTCTGTGTCTCCGGCAGCCACACTCAGTGCAGGCCCCGCCCGTGCCTGGCCAACACCTCCTTCCCTGCACGACCCCGCCGAGTCCCCAGGCTCGGATGCACGCTGCCCTCTCCAGGAGCCCACTCAGTGGGCTCTGATAATAAGTCTGATTTTCTCAAACGCTCCGGAAGCCAAGATGCTCTTTCACTGTGATGTCCTGGTGTCAGGCACCAAGCTGGGTGAAACAGACTTTTGTGGGATAACAAAAGTATTCTGAATCTCTCTACAGATGCTGAAATTACTGGCCTGTTATTACTGCTTCTTGTCATAGGCCCCTGTCCCGACAAGACCATGAGCTCCCCAGGAGGTGGGACCACCTGTACTGCTGGGCACAGGGGCTGGAAAGGCTGAGCGTTAGTGGGGTGGGGATGGTCTGCCGCCCACAAACTTGGAAACCAAACCAACAGTAAACACGCAAAGCAGATTCTCCCAAGAGCCTCTAGCTGCTTGGCTGGCCAGGAGGTCAGTACATGAAACCAAGGCAGGATCCAGCCTCATTTTATCTCATAAAAACCAATGACCAATGCCAAGAATGACATGGGGCATATTAAAAGTGTTTTTATCTCCCTCCTCGCCCTCATTCCCCCCACCACCTTGTACCCCAGCCAAAGTCCAAACTCCAAATAGGTACAAAATTTTGGGTGGGGGTTGCTGAGTTTCTTTGGGGCCGAGGGCGGGTGGCCCAGAGCCAGGCTTTGCTGAGCCCCAGGCCGACGGTGTTGCAGGCTCTCTGCACAGAGCTCTCGTTCAATCCTCAATGTGCCCTACCGGCGTGTGGCATACAGTGTCCAGAACAGAGGCCAGACAACAATCAGCAAGGAACTGGGCTGAGCTGGCAGCCCAGGAGAGGAGAAGTCAGGAAAATCAGCGTGGGGAGAGGCAGGTCCTAGTGCTCAGCTGTAAGCCATTACCCAAACAAAGTCCCACTTCCGCGCCTGACCCAGAGGCAGAGCCTGGGCAGGGCAGGAATGCCGGTGAGGGGCTGGCAGGCCCTTCCTCGGCCATCAGGGGAGGAGCACTCTGTGCCAGAGGCTTGTTGCTGACAACACACAACCCTGCAGCCCAGCCCCATGGATGTGACTCTCAGACCTGAAGAATCGAGAGGATTCTGCAGTGGAAAGTCTTAAGACAGGTGCTCACCTGGCCTGGCGGGGGCCTGGGCCCCACCCTTTGCCCATCCCCCTCCCATAGGAAGACTCGAAGGCTGCTGGGGTCAAACAGGCTATCTCCTATAAGAGCTTCCAGACTCCCCCAACCAGAGTTTCCACAACAGGTGAATCAGAGTGGCTATCAGATTTCAATGTCCACCCCAACCATCCCTCTCCACCCTGGCCCATCCAAAATTTCACATAATGTCACCGATGATGGGCAGCATCTCAATGAATTGCACCTGCTCCATGCCAAACACTGTTCCACACAGTTACACAGTAAGTCAACTACCCTTCCAAGAGCTCCAGCAGGAAGCACTACTGTCACCCCCATTTTATAGATGAGGAAACTGGGGCACAGAGGTGACATTCCCTGTGCAGAGTTACAGTGAGCCAGTGGTGCAGGCAGGGGCTCACAGCTGGGCGGTTTGACTCCCAGGCCCCTACTGCTGCCCAGGGCCTCCCTAGCAGAAAAAGTACCCACTGAGATCCCAGCTCAAGGGTCCCTAACAGCACGCTACCCTGCTCTGGGGCAAACCTCAGAATAATAACAGTGCCAACATGCAGAAATCAATCAAGGTAATATACCATGTTAACAGAATAAAGCTGTGGTCCCCAACCTCTGGGCCTTGGACCAGTACTGGCCTGTTAGGGACTGGGCTGCAAAGCAGGAGGTGAGCAGCAGGCGAGCGAGCGAAGCTTCACCTGTATTTACAGCCGCTCCCCATCACTCACATCACCGCCTAAGCTCCGCCTCCTGTCAGATCAGCGCAGCATTTGATTCTCACAGGAGTGCGAACTACTGTAAACTGCGCATGCAGGGATCTAGGTTGCGCGCTCCTTATGAGAATCTAACGCCTGATGATCTGGGGTGGAGCTGAGGCAGTGATGCGAGTGCTGGGGAGCGGCTGCAAATACAAATCATCATTAGCAGACAGGTTTGACTGCACAATAAATGTAATGCACTTGAATCATCCTGAAAACATCCCCCCCAACCCAGTCTGTGGAAAAACTGTCTTCATGAAACCGGTCTCTGGTGACAACAATTGGGGACCGCTGGAATAAAGGACATGATCATCTCAATAGATGCAGAAAAAGCAGCTGACAAAATCTAACACTCTTTCATGGTAAAAACATTCAACAAACTAGGAACAGAAGGGAATGTCTTCAGCCTGATAACGGGCAGCTACGAAACCCACACTTACAGACAACACCACACTCACCAGTGAGACCAGATACCTCTGTAAGATCAGGAACCAGATATGAACGTTGGTTCTCACCACTTCTATTTAGCACTGTATTGGAGGTTCTAGCCAAGGCCATTAGGTAAGAAAAATGAAATAAAAAGCATCCAGACTGGAAAGGAAGAAGTAAAAATATCTCTATTTGTAAATAATACGATTTTATATATAGAAAATCCCAAGGAATCCACACATAAAACATCCCAAAAACCATTAGTGCTAATAAGTGAGCTCAGCAAGGCTGTAGGATAAAGATCAATATATGAAAAGCAATTCTATTTATATACTTCAGCGATGAACAATCCAAATGTGAAATTAAGAAAATACCATTTACAAAGGCATCAAAAAGGATAAAATACTTAGGAATAAATTTAACAAGTAAGTACACGACTTAAATGCTGAAAACTGCAAAATGTCACTGAAAGCGATTAAAGACAACTTCAATAAATGGAAAGACATACTATGTTCATGAATATATTTGATTTTTTTTTTTTTAAACAGACAGGGTCTTGCTCTGTCACCCCAGGCTGGAGTGCAGTGGTGTGATCATAGCTCACTATAACCTCATACTCCTAGGCTCAAGTGATCCTTCTGCTTCAACCTCCCAAGTAGTTAGGACTACAAGTGTGCACCATTATGCCTGGCTAAGTTTTTTAATTTTTGTAGAGACAGGGTCTCCCTATGTTGCCCAGGCTGGTCTTAAACTCCTGGCCTCAAGTTATCCTCCTGCCTTGGCCTCCCAAGGTTGCTGGGATTTCAGGCTTGAGCCACCGTGCCCAGCCTCGGAGATTTAATATTGTTTAGCTTGCAATACTTCCAAATTGACCAACGCAATATCCAAAGTTCCAGCTTTCCTTTTGTCAGTATTGACAAGCTGATCCTAAAATGCCTGTGAAAATGCAAGGTACCCAGAATAGTCAAAGCATCTTGAAAAAGAAGAACAAAGTTGGAGGACTCACGTTTCCTGATTTCTAAAACTTACTAAAAATCTACAGTAATTGACACAATGTAGTGTTGGCCTAAGGACAGACATAAAGATCAGTGGAATAGAATTGAGAATTCAGAATTAAACCCAAATATCTATAATTTTAACTGATTTTTCTACGAGGGTACCAAGACCAAGACAATTCAAGGGAGAAAAGCATATTCTTTTCAACAAATGGTGCTGGGACAACTGGATATTTACATGCCAAAGAATGAACATGGAGCCCTACCTCATGTCATATACAAAACTAATTCAAAACTGATTGTGATTAAATTATAAGAGCTAAAACTGCAAGACCCTTTCTAGAAGAAACGTAGGTGTGAATCTTCATGACTTTGGATTAGGCAATGGCTTCTTCGGACACTAAAAGGAAAAGCAACGAAAGTAAAAACAGATTAAATTGGACATCATCAAAAATAAAAATTTTTGTGCTTCAAAGGGTACTATAAAGAAAGTGAAAAGACAACCCACAGAGTGGGGAAAAATATTTGCAAATCGTATATCTGACAAGAGTCTAGTATCCAAAATACATAAAGTACTAATAACTAAACAATAAAAAAGACACATAACCCGATTTAAAAATGAGCAAAGGATCCAGACAGCTCTCAAAATAAGACATACAAATGACATATAAGCATGTGAAAAGATGCTCAATGTCATTAGCCATCAGGGAATGCAGTCTAAGCCACAGGAAGATCCCACCATACACCTGCTAGGATGACTATAATAAAAAAGACAGACGATAACAAGTGTTGTTGAGGATGTGGAAAAATTCAAGCCCTCGGACGATGCTGGTGGGAATGTAAGATGGCGCAGCTGCTTGGGAAACAGTCTGGCAGTTTCTCAAACAGTCAAATGCAGTTACTGTACGATCCAGCAATTCCACTCCTTATACCCAAGAGAATGGAAACATACGTCCACACAAAAACCTGTCTGTGAGTGTTCACAGCAGCATTATTTGCCACAGCCAGAAAGTGGC